GACGCAGTAAACTTCTACCACGTTGCATCGCTCCCATGCAGCGCTGAACAAGAGAATATGCCAGCAGAACGTGGGGGCAACAGGCTGAAGGGATGCGTGGGGGTAGACGGTGGCGAGTAGGCGGGTAGAGTAGAAGTCGCGGAAGAGATGGAGAAGGAAGGGATGGAGAGGGAAGGTGACGGGGGTGCGGATCTGCTCGAGGGTGAGAAAGTCAAGGGGTCGGTGGGATAGCATGCGAGGACGAAGGCCTATCGCCCGCATCGGTACGTGGGCGAATTGGGGGACGGGTGGCGCTAGAGGAGGAGGAGGATCGGCTCCGTCATCGTCGCGCGGTACTTGAGGTGGCGGCTGCAGGGTCACCATCGTCGGGCTTTGGCGGCTCCGGATCCCTAGTCGGATCGTTGCCGATGTGCAGGCTGGCTCCGCTGGCGAACTCCAGTTGTCGCTTGCCGGTGACAATTTCTTCGCGCCTTCGCGCTGCCTCCGGATCTTCCACCTCCGTGCCTGTGCATGTTGCTTCCTCCGGCAAGGCTTCCCACTCAGACTCGGTTCCTTCTCCCCCCTCTTCTTCTTCTTCTTTACTCAGCTCACCCTCGCTATATTCGCTATAACTTCCCTCCTCCGACGTTTCCTCGTAGTCGTCTTCTTCTTCGTCGTCGATCACCACTACCTCCTCCTTGGGATAGAAGGCGTGAGGTATGATGTCGTAGGGCTTCAAATACTCCTGCCGCGATGGTAGCGTATCCTCGTCCCTGGGTTCCTCCAAGCACGGAGTGCACTGAAGGTACGGATCCAGCGATCGCTCGAGAATGTATGGAGCAGGACTGTCGTCACTTTGCGAATAGATGTCGGGCGAGAGATCGTCCGCCAATTGCACGATCGGCGCGATGAGCTCCTGCGCAATCAACTGGCGGCGACCCGGCCGTACCGATCCAAAGAGAAAGCCAAGAAGATCTCCCTCCACGTTAGTCCTCCAAGCCTGTATGATCAGCAGCTCCGGATTCTCGATCCACGCGGGATGCTCGCTGGTGCCCGTCCACGTTACTTGTACTCGGGCCAGGCAAAAGGACAACTCGTCAAAAGTTTCGCGCCACAACCGCCAATGCCCCAGGTTGATAAGCGGGACAGAAAGAGGCTCGAACGAGAAAGAAAGAGAAGGATGAAGATCGGATTGCCATAAGGTGGGGAAAAGAGAGGGGAGACCGAAGATAGAGAGAGGAGCGAGAGGATCAGCGTGGTTCATTGGGGACGTGGGAAGGGGACGAGGGTGGGGATCGCAACTGGCCGCTCGCGCGGAGAACGGCGGATGTCGCCAATATATGGTGCAAAGGTCGGGATGAGGTTATGCCCAGGTCGAATGAGAACGTGCTGCCACACGTTGGACACTTGCTCCGTCCACTCTCGCAGCGAAGCCAAGATCGCGGTATGCCTTTGCGGATTGACCGAGCTGATGTCGCCGCTGAACGCCTCAACCGTGGTGACGTGGCTTGTCCTGGGAGCCGCTCGCCGATGAACTGCGATCACCTCCGCAAATACTACTGCTTGAGGACTCCCTTCGATTTGAAATGCGGCAGCGGCACAGATACCCACGTCGCAGAGATATTGCGCCAAACGCCGAAGATCCGTATTGAGCCGAGGGTGACAAACCTGCCGAATCTCTGAGATGTGGCCGCGTGGCTGCAACAGCTGTGCGTTAAGAGCCCGCTCCGTGATGAAACTCATGGCGAGGTGGGAGAGGAGGACGAAGGGCAAGAGGGAGAAAGAGGAGAGAGAGTTAAATTGTTGTCGTTCTCCTCGCTTTCCGAGGAAGAAGAGGGAGGAAGATCAGAAGGAGGAAGAAGACGGAGGTAGGAGGTATGTCGGACGATGGGGACAGAGCTATGGCTGGCACTAGCCTCAGGCACGATGCGCACCGTGTTGGCGCCGTTGGGTCCGAGCTCAACGACGCGAAAACAACCAGAAAACTTGGGAGCGAGTTTCCGGTCGCGTGCACATTTACGTACCTGCACTAGGTCCCCTGATTTATATTGGTGTTGGGGCCCAGCATTTCCATTCCGAGCCTCGTAGCTACGGACCTATCTACCGTGGGCCAGTTCAGTCATTGTTTGCCTTTTTCGGGCTAGCTTTGGGACGGCCCGTTCCATTAATTCGGTATACCTTTTGGCCTTGGCCTTGAGAGCTGCACGCGTGTCTCTACCCCCTGCTTCGACAATTTCCGAGTTACCCTGGTAGTCGACATAGGGGAGGCTATTGGTTCGAAGCTGAAAAGGGGTAAACCCTGTGGACTCGTGAGGGGTGGCCCGGTGGATCTCGATGATCTGATATACGATCTCGGGCCAAGGACGCGTGTCGTGTGCCGCTAAGTTCCTGCGAAGGGCGGTTTTGATCATTCGGTTGGCATTTTCGGCCAACCCGTTCGACTGGGACACGTGGGGTGCCGTATGTCGGAGCGTGACGCCCCTTCGCGCAAGCAGTTCTTCTACCTCACCTTTGAATTCAGACCCATTGTCGGTTAGAATTTCTTCCGTATCTAGATGGGTATAGAGGAACCGTTCGATGTACGTGGCAATTTTTGCGGCTTTTCGGGTCTTACAGGGATAGACTTCGATGTACTTGGAAAAATGGTCAATTAATACTAACAGGATAGAATATTCACAACGGTTGGGGACAGGTGGCACGTCGATATCTGTCGTGTCCATACTGACTCGCTGGAAAGGACGCTCTACTTCTGTTGGTACTATCGTGTTTGGTCCCCGTATTGGGGCGCGATCAGCGGCACAGACCAGACAGTTAGCGACAATGTATTTGACATCATCTCGTATATTGGTGGTTCTGGTCTACAGTTGCCTCCGTAACACGTATTGCGAAATGAGTTGCCTGTTCTTCGTGAGCAGATCAGATCCAATCGTATCTCTGGAATGGATGGGGAACCATCAACCACGAACCTGATCCGTCAGTTTTACGCTTTTCCAAATGACCGTTGATCCATCGATAGTCCCGAGATCTCTCGGTCCCCCTACGTCTGTCGTGTTTGGTGAGGTGGCCCAATGATAATCCCGTTAATTTCGCCAATAAAATTTTATCCGTCCAAACCTCCGCTCATCGGTATTTTTCGTCGTATTCAGGGCCGTCCGTACGGGCGGCCTCGAATTGAACCTTCGTGGGGAGTTTGTTCGTTCTACACAGGGGGCACCTCCATTCCTTGCTACTCGTCCGATATCGAACGCAGGCCCCGTGCGCACGATTGACACACGTGGCAAATTCTACCCAATCGACAAACCCGGTCTCGAAGGGATGACAGTCGACCCCATAAACCCGTGCAATACACGTGCAAAAATAACAGAATTTATCGGGGAGGGTGGCGAAGAAAGCTGAGGAAGTAAGAGGGGCAGAATTAGTAGGAGAGGAAGGGGTTGCAGAGGCGGGTGGGGTAGTCATGATGACAGAGAAGGAAAGGATGGGGCTGGATTGCAGGAGGGCAGAACAGACCAATTGGTCCTCGTGTCACTTACTGCTTCGATAAGATCTCCACTTGGCCGTACCGAGGTCCGAGCTCCTGTTCGGGTTCGTTCCACGGAATCACCTCCTCATTCTTCGGAACTTTCTCAGGCCGGTGCAATCGTGTCAGTCCGTCCGCATTCCCGTGTCTCTCGTGCTTCCGATGACGGATGTCAAAGTCCATGCTCTGCAGCACCGTCGCCCATCGCCCGATCATGCCAGAGTAATCCTTCAATTTCTTCAGAGCCAACAAGGGCTCATGATCAGTTACCAGGGTGAATTTTCGCCCGTACAGGTACGCGCGAAAGTGACTGATTCCCCAGAGAGCCGCGTAGCATTCTCCCGTTGGAGCGACGTAGTTGCGCTTGCAAACGGGCATCGATTTGGATGCATATTCCACCACATTCTCGAGTCCGCTTAGTCCCACCTGGGCAAGGATCGCCGAAAATGCTTCTGGCTGCCAGTAAGTGATGAGAACAAAAGGCTTTTCGGGATCCAGTCTTATAAGGACCGGAGCCGAAATGAGTGCGGCCTTGAGTTTGGAAAACGCTTGATCGCACTCCAGCATCCAGATCAACGACCGATCTTTGCGCAGCAGATTTGTAAGGGGTCCCGCAATCGTCGCGAAGCCCTTGATAAATCTTCGGTAGTACGAGGCCAGGTCCAGAAAGGCGTGAACTTGCGTGATAGTTGTAGGCACCGGCGCATCCTTGACAACTGCCACCTTCTGCGGTTCCAGTTGAAGTCCTTTGTCTGTCACCACTGTCCCAAGAAGGAAATGGTGGTAAGAAAAAACTGACACTTCTCAAGCGCCACTTTGAAACCCGCATCTCGTAACGCGTGCAACGCCCATTCGATGTGCTGCACGTGTCCCTCATAGGAACTCGAGTACACCAAAATGTCATTCATGTACACAATTACGCAGTAGTTGATGATGCTCTGCGCGGAACGAGTCTTCCGCACGAAATTTTGGAAAGCCATGTTCATGGCTCGCTGGAAGGTCGCGGGGGCGTTGCAGATACCCATCGGACATCGAATCCACTGCCACGTAACCTCGAAAAGCATAAACGCCGTTTTCAGACGATCTTCTTCTCAAACAAGAAGATGATGGAACCCATGGCGAACATCAAACTTGCTGAAAAATCGCACACTCCCAATCGCATCCAACAACTCATCAATTCGGGGGAGGGGGTACACATCTTTGATCGTGATGTCATTCAACTTTTGATAATCAATGCAAATACGAATCCCCCCAGCCTTTTTAGGCACGATAACTACGAAAAAAGACCAGGATCCAATTGCGGGTTCGATCCATCCATAAGCTTCGAATTCTTTGATCCGCTGATAAGCGGCCGCTCGTTGAGCTGGCGAGTATCGGTAAGGAACACAGCTAATGGGTGGGTGGTCTCCCGTGAGAATGGCATGCTCGATCATATTAGTTAAGCCAATATCATTACCATGCACGCTTAGCACCTCGGCATAACTGTTCAAAACATTGATTAAGGAATTTCGCAGTTCCGTGGAAACGTGTTTCGGTAGGGCGATCGTCGATCCCCCAAAAATCTGAAGGGGTATGTCGATCCAATCAACCGGACTCCTTCGTTGATTGTAGACAGTCCAAAAGATGGAACTACTGGTGCGAACGGAAAAGACAGTCGCAATCATCTGTGATTCGGATGGGCTGATCATTTCTGTTTCTTTAACTTCGGTGTAAGTTTCTGAGTCGGCCGAAATCTGCTCCACAGCCAGTCCTGTTAGGTTCGTCATTTCTTGCATTAGATCAGACACATCATCTACCGGCACTTCCGCTTTCTGTTTAATCAAAGCGATGGTCGCCCCCGTCGTTAGTAACGATCTGAGTGGAAAAACAGAAACATCCAAGTATTGTCCCGTTTGTTGATAACGTGTTTGTAAGGAAAGTGCTTCCTCATACAAGGTACGAGGGGGTTCCAAATCGTCAGCCAGGTCGGACACTTGTAATATGGGTTCCCTTAGGAGGACTGAAGGACTGACCTGGGTTGTCAGGGGCGAGAACGCGCTGTCTTCGAAATCCACATGGAAGCTTCGGGTGGTGTCAGGGCATACTTGAAATTCTTCAGGAATTTCCGTTCGAAAATTTCGACCAGGTGTTTCCATTCATCTTCACTGGGCATCTCTTCTTCGTATTCCTGTTCCTTGATTCTATTACCGATGCTGGAGGGAGAGCACTCCTCGGGATCAATGCATCGGATGATCCCTATTTGGGCTGAGTTAGGGGTCCGTTTTATCGTTCGGGTGGAAATTCGCAAAGGAACAGTTTGGGGTTTTCCCCCAGTTTGCGTGAGCACCAATTGTTTTAAATCGAAATGCAGTCGTGCACCCACCGCCATCGCCCAAGGCAATCCTAATAGTACAAAATAGGAGCGCACATCTATCACGAGCGCGTTAACGAGGACGTGTACTCGTCGAACCTTTACAACCACATTCTCAATAATGCCTACTATGTTCATTGCTTCCTCATCGGCGGAGACATAATTGTCTTTGTCAGATTGAGGAAGAATAGATCCGAGTCATCCCGTCTTTCTCACAGTGTCTGATGATATGGCTACTGCTGAAGACCCTGTGTTGATAAGGGCGTTAAACGGCTTGCCCCAAACTTCACAGTCGCACTCCGCGCTTTTCTATAGTACCGGCCGAGCTCGTACGAAGTGATATTTTTCTGCTAAAGAGATCGCTGCTACTGGTGCGGCCTCAGGTTCGTCGACTTCGGGTTCGGGTTGTGCAACTTCCTCGCTTCCTTCCTTCTTCTTCAACATCCGTTGTATGTGCTGATAGGTGAAACGCTTTTGATTTTTCTGGCAATGTTGTAAAAGTTTATCGTTCGCCGCTTCAGATATGGTGAGCAAATGTCCCACCGGGATCGGAACATGAATATCCAGCTGTTTGAGCGCTCGTAGCACATCAATCTCTCCAGTTCGAAATTGCGGACCAGGATTGGATTCACGATTGACCCATTCGAGATCATCAGGGGCCGATCAGATCGCTCCGACCATGCCTGCAAGATGAAGATATTCGAGTGGATCGACCACATCAGCAGCGTCGGGAGAAGAAGCTCCCGATGTTGACGCCGTTGCCATCGATGGGGAAGGCTGTTCTGGGGTGTATGCCACGAGTTATCCTCCCTAGGCCGTATCCATCAAAGCGGCCACTTGTCCTTGATTCAGGGCCACGTGGGCCGCAGCAGGGGGAGGCTGATTACGTTTTGGCTGCGGACAGTCTCGGGCAAAATGCCCGGGCTGTTTGCAGTTAAAACACTCGATCTTTTCGGCTGGATTAGCCAGATGAGGGAACTGAGGTGCATACTCTGGTGCAGGCGGTGCAGGCAAGAGTGGAAATGATGCAGTGGTCGGCCGAGCAGGAGCCGGGTTAGGCTTAATTAGCCTGCCCATTATTTGTTTCATTCGTTCCATATGAGCGGCCTGCATTTGGATCAAGTTACTCATCCATTCGGACTGCTTGGTAGTGGTTGTATGGATCATCTGGGCAAGATGTAAGTTGGTTATGGCCGGCGAGGGGGGTTCGGGTGATATTCCATTTTTGACTGTCGCAATCGATTGATTCATGGGGGGAGAGGAAGAAGAAGCAGGCGGGATATCGGAAACGATCCCGTCGGGAAGGTCATGGTCGGGGCGGGGATAAAACCGTTCGACCGCCTGCAACCATGATCGCCTTTTAGTCGTTACATCCCGTATGGTATCTGTAATATCTTCGTCTCCCTGGCTGATATATTTCTTTGTATCAGCTAGGTCTAGTTCCAATGCTTTAGCGATGATAGCCGATAACTGGTGTGTTTTCGGCGCGACCTTTTTCTGCAGTTTCCCTTTCAATGTCGGACTTCGTAGGTGATCGATGAACAAATCTCGAGCGGATTTCTCTTCTCGCCCGGATTTGTCCAACGTGGTTTGAAATCGATCCACGAAATCGGGCAACAATTCCCCGGGTCCTTGTAGCCGATTTTTTAGCACGTACCAGGCGGCATCTTCACTAATCGTATCGAATCCAGCCAAGAAGGCTTGCTTGAAGGTATCCCAATCTACCCACATATGTTTTCTAAACCAGTCATGCGGCGTATTGCGGAGTATTAATGTCAAAACGCGGGGAAGATCGGCTGTACTGTAGTTTTGAGCTTCAACAGCTTCCAGCCAAGCCTCGAGATGGGTATGGTTAGGGAAAAAAGGGAAGGGGGCGGGGATGCTGACGATCACCCTAGTACCGTCCACCATTGGTGCTGCGGGTGCAGCTGCACCAGACCGAGATCTGGTCACTGGGCGATCCTGACGAGCTGGTTGAGGTCCTCTCCTACCTCTCGCCATTTCGACTTACTATCATCAGAACCGACACGTGTCGGCTCCGATACCAACCTCACGCCCTGTGCTGTCTTTCGTTCGGAGTGTTGGACGTGCGGAAAGAAGCCCAGAAAAACAGCAAGATGGGGTGTGCCAAGGATTTTTTAAAATTGAATGTGGGGACACAGACGGAACTGAAATCCCCCGTGTTGGTCCCATGAAGCAAGTCGATTGCTTTCACGCGTCGCAGAATGCGCGCGCGGGTAAGGCGCGAAGAGAAAAAAAGCCAAATTCAATCCAAAAATTATTGTCGGGCTTCCCGGCGGGCTACAGCCCGTCGTATAGAACGGAAAGGCTCTGGCACGCTTCGCATGTCTCGTTTTCGTATCAAATCTCGTTGTCGTTCGTTGGTCAGTTCCGAGTCCGGCCTGGATGGTCTCAGCCGCGTGGCTCTTTCTTTATGCTCGTCTCCACTCCGCACACGGTAGTGGAAACCCCTGGATTCGTAGTGCTCAAAGCGCTGACATTCGGTGCATAGAGTGCGCGGCCAGTGGGGTTCTACTGCCGTCCACGGGATGACGATCAACTCGTTGAATGACAACAATATAAAGTAAGGTGGGAAGTGTGTATCGATAATGACAAACCCGGCCTCTACGAATCCGGAACAACGGTTGGCCGGAGGGAAGTAATATCGCCCGCCGATTTGTGCGACAGCTTCTCGTACGTCCTGCTCGCATACACGTGTCCTTTCCTCGTTGTAGGGAAAAGGCCGTGTTGAGACGGGAGGCGCGGGAGGCTGGCGCCCGATCGGAGGGTACTTGTCAGTCCACATATCAATCAATTGCAAAAACCTTGGGACGTCATCAAGCAAAGAAAACACTCGAGCAAGTCACAATCAATTCCTTTCGACACGAGAGAGAGAGAGAGAGAGAGAGAGAGAGAGAGAGAGAGAGAGAGAGAGAGAGAGAGAGAGAGAGAGAGAGAGAGAACACTTCCTTAGCTTAATCGTGCATATAATTAAGGGACCGATCCGCGGCTCAGGGTTAGGGAGCCAACGCGACGTTGATCCCAGGCGCCTTGTTTCTCGAGGCCGCCTCGTAGCTCGGCTGTTGTTGTCGTGCAGCATAAGGCAGATGGCATGCGCAGTACATTCAGAGCTACAAATCTAAACACTCTTGCATTCTCAAACAAAATCCCGACGACAATCGTCTAAAAAGGGTCACACATCTCCATACATACATCCACTGTAGAAGGTGCGAAAATGAGACATGCACAGGAAAAGATGGATCGCTTACAGTACACACGCATCCACCGTTCACAAGACAAGAAGACGGGGTCCTTGTGTAGGAGGATTACCCAGGAAACTAATGGAAGAGTTCCGGAAGAAGTTCTTTCACACAAGGAAGACACACAAATTCATTCCCCTCTAAGAGAAAAAGAGAGGCAGACGTCGAGACACATCATTCTTCAAAAGTAGGGAAGAGAGGGGGAGGTGAGGGAGGAGAGTTGAGATAGGGGATGGCCAGATCTGGAAGAGAGACATTCGGCATGGCCGCCGTACACTCACGCCAAAGATAAAGATCCGCAACAACAAAGGCGCATTCACCGTTAATTCCAATATGGCCCCGGACAAATCACTCACTCAACTCCAATCATCGATCCTCATACCCGCACCGACGATCCCGGCCGTCGCGTGCTAACTCCCACCAGTGCGA